AAAAGCTTAAAATGGACCAGAATTTCAGATGACTCTGGTCCATGTTTCAAAACTTCGTAACTTAAATTGTGGGTTCCCAAGAGAAACTGAATTTCAAATTCTAGGCCATGGCCCAAAAGCCCACACAGTACTCTGAAAGCCCCAGTTCCACTACACATCTTCCCTAACTCTCATGCGTAATACCGCTTGATGATAAGACCCACACCCACTGAAATTCAACCTGGAACCTAAGATACTAGCATCTGTATTTTATGTAACTGGCTTTAGTCCCCTGAAAAGGGACATTCTCTGCCTCTCCAAGCAGACAGATGTGTTGTTGATTTTGCTGGTGTGGAGGGATCCAGATTAGGCAAGAGCAGGATTAACACTTTGGGTATCAGCAATCATTAAGTGTCTATTTATTATGGAGCCTAACTGTTGAAGTCAAATATACCTTGGATGCCAAAGACAGTTACTGACTCCCATCCCTCCCTTTTCAACCTTCACTGTGAGACCTGGACTTTGGGACTGGCATCCAACCACTAGGTGTTTCATACTCAGTTCATGAAAGGTGCTTCACATGACATGACTAAAAATTCAGATATTTCCATATTTTATTTTAAATGTTTTATAGTATTAAAATCCCGAATGACATTTTATCATCTGCAATGAATCATTATGTGTGGCTCATAATGAACTATGTTATCAAGGCTATGGATAATAAAATCACCAATGTAGCCAACATTTATTGGCATATCAAATAAAAAAGTAAATGTAACTTACAAAAAGAAAAAAAATTATTTAGGCCAATTATCAATGGAACATTTGAACCATTTCTAAGTTTAACTGAATAGTACCATACATAACATCCCTAATTTAGTAACAGTAACAACTCCAAAAGATTAAATAATTCCACTGAATTGTTAAAGTGACAATATGAAAACCACCTGAATGTGGTAAAACCAGCAAGTACAGTATATAAATTGTTACTCTTGTCAACTCAGGGTTTGGTCCCGTACTCTGTAAAAAAGCTGTCATTACTTACTCCTGACCATCAAAAGACTTGCTGACTGCTAGCATCCCTTCCAGGAAGTATATAAAGGCTTAATGCATGCATCTTCATCTTAGTTTTACTTTTCTGTCTCTATCTGCAGCCATTTATAAAGTCTGGCTATGAAATAGTTATTTACTTCTCCAAACACACCTAGGCCACAGCTATTGAGTTTCAGATTCTTCTTCCCCCCTCTCAGTCCAGGAAGAGCACTACAGAATCATTTAACACGTTGCAGGAGTAATTATCTCCCAGTACACTGAAGGTGTGAAGAAGACAACTTCCCACATTGGCATACAATTCCACGGATAGTTATGCCCTAGAATTTCTAGTTTATCTTTCAATTAAGAATAAAGATATGTAATCCACTGTCAATTAAGCAAGGTAGGGAGTTATTTCCCTATTAAAATTTCTAAAATTGGAGTATAAAGCACCCTAAAAATATCAATACTTCAAAGAAGTCAGGTAAGGAGCTAATTTTACCAAATGGTTGGCAACGTGCAGGGAATGAAAAAAAATCATTTTAACATTAATTGTTCACTTTACAAGTTGGAAATACTGGCTTTAAAAAATTTAAGTGAATTTCAAAATTTGGGGTTATATTTACTTTCTTAATTTGTATGTATCAAAAAGAAAAACAATACAAATGAGATTCAATACAAATGCAATTTAAATGCTCAAGGTCACACAATTGCTCAAGTTTTGATTTGGCTTTTCCAGCTTTAAAATGCAGTGACAATGTTTTTTGCCCCCCCCCCCGCAGAACTCCAGCTGACTCTTTTCCTCTTTCCTTCTCTTAAGCTTTCCATCACTACTTTCTGATCCCCACCTCCCTGCAAACACAATATAAAGAATTAAAATAACGAGATACTAAATTTCCTTAATTTAGACTCTTTGGTATAATATATATAACCAAATGCAACATTTTATCCTTATATAATACTAGGGGGTAGAGAATATACTTTGATCAAAACAATTTATGTTGTTTTTAATTGTGAAAGATCCTCAGCTTAAGAGCTTTCTTTCTTTAAACATCAGTAACATAACCTATTTCTAATTGAAACCTCTACTTGAGGAAGGAAAAACTATTTGCACAGCCAGTCATGTACCGACATATAATCAATTTATTAGAGCAGGTTTTCCAATTTCTAATCTAGTAGAAAGACTAAATCTCCTTTTACATTCTAATCATGACCTCAAATAAGCAAGAGTTGTTAAATTCCATTGTAATATGATATTGTTACATAATAAAAGTTTTCCCCTGGCATTTACAAACACCTCCCAATACACTTCACAGAGTTACTAGATACAAATTAAACCTCTAAATTAAAGGTTCACTGATTATGGACATACCAGAAAAACAAAGTAGCAACCAAAAGACACAACCTTTCATTTCCTTTCCCTTGGGTCCTTAACTAAAACGCTATCCTCTCTTACTTTTCAATGCCCTTGATGCACATAAAGTAGGGGTTGGAAGACAGCTGATTGGTTGGATAATTGACTATTTTATTCTGAATTAGAAACAAAATAACCAGGTGCAGAGGCTTTATAGTAAACCAAATTGTGTCAAATAAAAGCACACATTAATGCTTTTCAACATCCACTTATTTCAGATAGGCTTTTTTCATTTTCACATTTCCATTTTCCATAACCGTTTCACAGGCACCAGAAAGGAAGATACTTAACAGCAGTATATTTTAAAAGAGAAGCATTCTTGTAAATTCTTTTAAAAAAAAATCTAAGCCCAATTCTACAGAAGCGTCTTCTGCCAACATTTTGCTTTTTAGTATTAAAACAAAATTTGACCAAAAATGCATAGTAGCCATTATTGATTTACACAGAAATAATTATCATTCTTTAAAAGTTGCAATGTTATTGCTTTTTCCTTCAAACTCAGTAAAGCAAACAGAAAGAACTGCAACCTCCATTAATAAATTACATATGAAAACACGATTGTGGTGTCCCCGTGTTACTTCCAATGGTAACTGACACGCCCCGAATTTAACTGTACCAGACAGTTCTATCTGTCCCATCGTTGACCAAACATTGCTTCTCTGTTTCTATTCATTATGCATTATATGAGGCCTAAACACAAGCCCAGTATGACGAGGAGGAAAAAATTACAATTCTTATGACAGCAAAGTGATGCATTCAAGATCTCTCTGGCAGTACATCCCCGTCCATAAGCACTAAAAGGCATTTTTTTGATAGAGCTAAAATGTTGGCCGCAAGCTCATTACTCTTAAGAACCTTCAGCAGCCCCGTTTCTGCAGCTTTTGAGAAAACCCTAGTAAAAACCAAACGCTAATCAAATCTTGCAAACCAAACTTCCAAAGATTCTTATGCAATAATCAATAACCTTGGTTACACCACAGTCGGCCCCAAATTCACGGTCCTGGAGACCATTGCAGCAAAAACCCAGCCGAAAGGCTAGCTGAAGCCCAAAGAAACTACTGGGCTTCCCCTCCGCCGCCCTGTCTGCCGCAGGGAAAGAAGCGATGGGAGAAGAGGGGTGGAACGAAGCTCACCAGCTCCGAAGATGCTCCGGTGACCTCTGGCTGCACCGCGAGGCTGGGCCGGGAAGGCGCTAGTGCAGCCGCGGCGGGCCAGGCGGACTCTGCCCGGGGTGCATTCCTCGCATTCCTGCACAATCAGTCGCCAGCCCAGGAGCCCGCAGCTCGCGTTTCTCCCTGGACACACACACCTGTCTACTGCTGCGCCCCGAGCGGCCACGGACGCAGCGGCACCTCCAG